TCTCTCTCTGTCAAATAAATAAATAAAATCTTAAAAAAAAAAATTCAAGCTATACATGTGTGTCATTACAATAACTCTCTTTATATCATCCACTCCAGAGAAATACTTACACATGTACACAAAGAGGCATATGTAAGAATTTTCATTGCAACACTGTAAAAATGAAAAACTGAAAATATCTTAATACCCACCAGTGAAGGAATGAATAAACAAACTAGGGGGTAGCCAAGGAAATACTAAGCCATAGTTTAAAAACTGATATATTTTAATATTTATTTACTCTTAAATAATAGTAAATTAAACAAAGAAGCTGCAAAACAATGTTTGCAGTATAACTACAGGCAGCATATGCAATTAGAAACAGAGAAAAAAACTAGGTCTAGATAGATCGATAATAAAATATGAACAGATTAAAGTCTGGAAAGATACACACTAAACAGGGACAGACGACAAGATTCTAGTCAAGCAAGACTTCAATTTCTATTGTTTCTATTATTTGAGTATTTTTACAAGAATGTATTCATATATTGCTACTGTAATTCTTTTTAAAAAGGGAAAAAGGAAAATTTGTAGGAACAGAAAGATATTATAAAGGCACAAGAAAAATTAAGAAATAGGAACAGACTGAAAAATAGAGAGGAAAACTGAATGAATGAAATCAATGAGGAGAGCTAAGCAGCATCTATAGAGCCCCACCAGCACAAAGGCTTGGAACTGGTTGATCAAGTACTTCTGGAAATTAGGATAGAGGTCAAGCTAAAAAGAAGAGTACTAACAAAAGTCCAGAAGGCTGGAGGGTTATTCATTAGAGAAAATAAAACAGATTATTTCTGGATTAGGAGAAACCAAGCACACTGAGCACAGGGATAACACACTGAAAACAAGAATTAATTAAAAGTTCATCTACAGGGGCGCCTGGGTGGCTCAGTCGGTTAAGCATCTGCCTTTGGTCGGGTCATGATCTCAGGGTCCTGGGACTGAGTCCCGCATCAGGCTCCTTGCTCAGCGGGGAGCCTGCTTCTCCCTCTGCCTGCAGCTCCCCCTTCTTGTGCTCTCTCTCTGACAAATAAATACATAAAATCTTTTAAAAATAAATAGATGATAGAAAGATAGATAGACAGATATTTTGAGAAGAAATGCAGAGAACTGAGCCTGAGTTTCAGGGTGAATTAGAGATAAAACAGAAATCTCTACCTTCCACAGTGAGTCAACACACGATACAAATGGCAAATACATAGTTATCATATAACCCAACAATCCCACTCTTAGGTTTTTAAGAGAAAAATATATATCCACACAGAAACTTGTGTATGAATGTTCATGTCAGCATTATTTATATTAACCTAAAAAATGAAAACAACACAAATATCCATCAACTAATGAATAAACAAAATGTGGTACAGTAGTTCCCCCACCCCTGACCCCATATCCACGGTTTCTCTCTTTCACAGTGTGTTACCCAAAGTCTGTTACCCGCAGTCAACAATGGTCCATCCAGAAACAGATGATCCACCTTCTGACAGTACGAACATACAATTAGTAGTCTAACACTACTTCACAATGCCTACGTCATTCACCTGCCTAATTTATAAATTAAACTTTATCATAGGTATGTATAGGGAAAAACATAATATGTATAGGGTTCAATAGTATCTGTGGTTTCAGGCATCCATTGGGGGTCTTAGAATGTATCCCCCATGCATAAGGGGAGACTACTGTATTTCCATAAATGCAATGTTGTTCAGCAGGCAGGCAAGAAGAAAGGCAAGAAAGAAAGCAAGAGAGAGAGAAAGAGAAAGAGAAAGAAAGGAAAGAAAGAAAAGAAAAAGGAGAAAGAAAAAGAAAAAGAACAAACGAACTGAGAGGTGTTATAACATGGATAAACCCTAAAAACAACAGGCTAAGAGAAAGAAGCCAGTCATGAAAGATTACATATTGTATGATTCCATTTAGATGAAATGTCCACAATAGGCAAATTCTCAGAGATAAAAAGTGGTTGCAAGAGGCTGAAGTTAAGTGGGAATGAGGGGTGTACTACTAAAAGGCAGAGTTTCTCTTTTAGGAGTAATGAAAATGTTCTAAAATTAGATATTGGTGATGGTTACACAACTCAATATACTAACACCACTGAATTTATACACTTTAAAGGAGTAAATTTTATGGCATATGAATTATAGCTCAAAGAAGTTGTTTTAAAAATGGCATTCCTTACAGTGGAATGAATAAATGAATAAATGAATGATGAATGAACAGCAAAAATAAAAAAATAAAAATGGCATTCCTTTAGCCACACTCTTTCTTTCTTAAGTACCTTTCCAGCATAGAGAATACTAGAAGAATCTAAAGCATCATCCAATGGTCTCCAGTCCACTATTACTTCAGCATCCTAGAGAAAGAAATTATGGACTATATTTACTAGTCAGCAATATCTTACATTCTTAGTTACCTATTTTTAATTCCCTGAACGCAAAATGAAAATTTTAAACCCTTAAATATTAGCATTTTAAATATGCAATATCACAAGTAAACCACTATTTGACAATAAATGTTATGCACATTTTTAAATTCTGCTTATTTTTCATGACAAAAATTTGTAATACTGAAACTTTTACATAAGTTTTTAATATTCCATGCCATTTTACGGGCTTATCTAAAGTATTATTTTCCTGGGGTGCCTGGCTGGTTCAGTTAGTGGAGTATGGGACTCTTGATATCAGGCTTGTAAGTTCGAGGCCCATACTGAGTGTAGAGATTACATACTTTTCAACATCATTTTCATGTTAAATTTATAACCACTGTTCAATTACATAATTTCACCTTACACATGAAATTCAAACTTACTGATAATGCCCCGAAGATAAACCACTGCCATAAACAATTATTAAATAAAATCACTTACTAAAAACATACCTTTTCTAACACACGTAATATTCCTGAAATCAAGCTGTCTTGGTCATTGGTCTTTCCACAAGATGAGTGAATATAGACCCCTTCCTGTTCATATATAAGCTGGAACAACAAAAAAAGAATCACACCATTATTATTCAGTAAGATTTCGACATTTGTTAAAAAAAATTATGTATTTTCATATAATGCCTGAACCACATTTCTGACTATTTCATATATAAACGTATTATTTTAAAAATACCACTCAGGCTTAAGAGCACTTCAAATTAAGATAAACTGGAAGGTAGTCTGCTCTATGGAAGTTTGCTGGTTTAGTGATAATCACAATCTTGATCTTCTCCATAAACAAAGATGTCACAGTAATTGCTAATGTGTCTCAAGTGAATTCCACTTAAAATACATTTTTAACAAACGTTAAGCAAAATATTGGATTCAAACTGAAAAAGGCCATGAAAACATTCAAGAATAAGAACAGATGAAATACAGTACATGTTTTACTGTAAGATCATTTCAGTGTGTTTTTGTAGCACAGTGGCATAGAAATTCAGGGAGTAACATGGGAATTTTAAGGAGTAATGATGAGGACTTCTAGGAACGATTAAAGTAGTTCATGCACACAAATATTTACTGAGTGCTTCTATATGTAAAAGCATGCAAAAGACTATAGTTATATAGATATGATTAAGACATGGTCCTGAACAATATCCTGTGGGAATATAAGGGAGACTGAAGCTAATTCCTGAGTAAACTGAACCATGTAAAGTTAAGTCTTGTCTTCTATTAGCAGAATATTATAAATTTAAGATTCCATTCCTGGGACCCATTTCCCAATTACATTTTTTTTCATTATGAAAATAAGAGAAATAAAATAATCACTTTGAGACCTAAGTACTTTTCACATACAGAAGTTTGGAATAGAGTGTAAGTTTCTATTTATGTAGACCTCTTTTTTTTTTTTTTTAACTCCAGTATAATTAACATAGTTATATTAGTTTTAGGTGTACAACATAGTGATTCAACAATTCTATACATTACTCCGCGCTCATCATAAGTGTACTTTTTTTCTTTTTTAATTTAAATTCAATTAATTAACATATGATGTATTATTTGTTTCAGGGGTACAGGTCTGTGATTCATCAGTCTTATATAATACCCAGTGCTCATTACAACACATACCCTCTCTTAACCGTCTTCCCGTGTTTCACCCATCCCCCACCACCGGCTCTCTGGTACCCACCAGTTTGTTCTCTATATTTAAGAGCCTTGTTTTTTGTCTCTTTTTCTTTGTTCATTTGTTTTGTTTCTTAAATTTCACATATAAGTGATATCATATGGTGTCTTTCTCTAACTGGCTTATTTCACTTAGCATTACACCCTCTAGATCCATCCATGTTGTTGCAAATGCCAAAACTTCATCTTTTTATAGCTGAGTAATATTGCATTGTGTGTGTGGGAGGGTGTATATCACATCTTTTTTAAGATTTTTTTATTTATTTGACAGAGAGAGATAGAGAGCACAAGCAGGGGGAGCAGCAGAGGGAGAGGGAGAAGCAGGCTCTCCGCTGAGCAGGGAGCCCAACGCGTGGCTCGATCCCAGGACCCTAGGATCATGACCTGAGCCGAAGGCAGACACTTAACCGCTGAGCCACCCTGGTGCCCCCACAACTTCTTTACCCATTCATCTATCAATGGATACTTGGGATGCTTCCATATTTTGGCTATTGTAAATAATGCTGCTATAAACATAGGGATGCATGTATCCCTTTGAATTAGTGTTTTCATATTCTTTGGGTAAATACCCAGTAGTGGAATTACTGAATCTTATGGTAATTCTATTAATGTTCTGAGGAATCTCCATACTGTTTTCTATAGTGGCTGCACCAGTGTGCACTCCCACCAACAGTGCACAAGGGATCCTTTTTCTCCATATCCTCGCCAACACTTGTTGTTTCTTGTGTTGTTGATTTTAGCCATTCTGACAGGCGTGAGGTAGTATCTCATCGTGATTTTGATCTGCATTTCCCTGATACATGATGATGAGCATCTTTTCATGTGTCTCCTGGCCATGTGTATGTCTTCTTTGGAGAAATGTCTATTTGTGTCTTCTGCCCATTTAATTGGATTATTTGGTTTCTTTGGTGTTGAGCTGCATAAGTTCTTTATTTATTTTGGATACTAAGCCTTTATCAGATATGTCATTTGCAAATATCTTCTCCCATTCCATAGGCTGCCTTTAAGTTTTACTGATTGTTCCCTTTGCTGTGCAGAAGCTTTTTATCTTGAGGTAGTCCCAACAGTTTATTTTTGCTTTTGTTTTCCTTGCCTGAGGAGACATATCTAGAAAAATGTTTTTACAAATGATGTCTAAGAAATTACTACTATGCTTTCTTCTAGGATTTATATGGTTTCAGGTCTTATATTTAGATCTTTAAACCATTTTGGTTTTATTTTTGTGTAGATTATAAGAAAATGTGTCCAGTTTCATTCTTTTACATGTAGCTGTTCAGTTTTCCCAACACCACCTGTTGAAGACACTGCCTTTTTCCCAATGCATATTCTTGCCTCCTCTGGTGAAACTTAATTGACATGGGTTTATTTCTGGGCTTTCTGTTCTGTTCCACCCATCTGTGTGTCTATTTTTGTGCTAGTACCATACTGTTTTGATTACAACAGCTTTGCAGTATATCTTGAAATCTGAGACTGTGATATCTCCAATTTTGTTCTTTTTCAAGACTTCTTTGGCTAATCGGGGTCTTTTGCAATTCCATACAAATTTTAGGATTATTTATTTTAGTTCTATGAAAAATGCTGTTGGTATTTTGATAGGAATTGCATTAAATCTGTAGACTGCTTTGAGTAGTATGGACATTTTATATTTACCATCTCACTATTCAGAATACCATGGGGACCAGCTTGCAAGACAAGCACCTTCACAACCCATCACCATCACACCCTAGTTATGAATGTAAATGGGTATGCATCTTCCTGTTTTTAACTAACATTTATGGAATACTTATGCACCAGGAACTCCACATGTTATAGCTTAATCCCCCTAACCCTAGACCACAGGCTCTATAACTGTATCCTACTACATCATTAGAATGGAAAGCCCATTTGTGTTAATGAGAAAACTGAAAAAGATATTAAATAACTTGCCTAAGATCGTTGATGCAAATAGTAAGGGATGGTTAAGGAGCAGTGTGGAGATTAAAATCCAGGCAGTCAGATCCCAGAGAACTGTGCTCTTAGCTACTATGTTATAAAGTACATTACTTTTACTGTTATTCCCATGTTACGTTAGTCACTTGTGATATGAAGTTATATGTCAGGAAAAGAGTCCTTCTAGTAATCAAGATCACCAGAGAAATTCTGATCTCAAAAACCCAAGATGGCCTTCACTGAAATAGTCATTAAGCACCGGACCAGCATTAAGCAGAAGGCAAAGACTGGGGACAGCATGAGTTGGGGAGCAGTAGAAGACAATTCTATACTGTTTCCATAATGATAAAAACTTTTAAAGGACACAGATTTATTCACACATGTGCATAAAGATATGCTTAAAACTATTCACAGCACTATTATTTATAACATCAGGTGGGGTGAGGGAGGGAGAAAAAAAGGAAAGGGAAGTTATGAATCTAGATACCCACACAGGGGAAATGATCAAATATCTCCTGGGATAGTCATTCTATGGGGAATACTATTCAGGAATTAAGAAAGGATATGATAGATTAAATGAACAAACAAACATGGAAAAAACTGCCAATTATATATAGTATGATGACATTTATGTATTTTTAAAAGCTTCTCTAAATTGCTGTAAAATACCCAGAACAAGTTCTGGAAGGACACACTTTAAGCTGTTAACAGAGATTACTTGTGAAAGAGAATGGGATATGGAAAGGCTGAAAGAAAACTGTAACAGTCTATGTTAATGCCTCTAACATACTTGAATATTTCAAAGCTAAAATACAGTTACACATTGCTTAGTAATAAAAAATAATTTTAATAAGTAAAAAAGGAAATTGCAGAAGTATAAACTATAACCTTTCCAAACTTCAATTTATCAATTTTCAAAACAAGAGGTTAAACTAGATAATTATATCTGGGGCCACAATATGAAGTTAAGGGAAAGAAATCCGTTAAAATCTCAAGCTTTAGTGAGAAATAGATCAGAGACATGTCTGGAAACTACATGTTAGCATACTTTCACCTAAGTCTCAGCTAAAACAATAATCAAGAGCTTCATAGTTCTCCCGTCGCCTGGGTGGCTCTCTTGGTTAAGCCTCCGATTCTTGGTTTCAGCTCAGATCATGATCTCATGGATCAAGGGATCAAGCCCCACATCAGGCTCCCTGCTCAGTAGGGAGTCTGCTTGAAATTCTCTCCCTCTGCCCGCCCCCCCGAAAAGAGCTTCATAGTTCTCATAGTAGAAAAAAGGACACTCATTTTGCCCAGAAAAGTTTGGTATCATTAACAATGCAATCTAAAATTCTGTGATACTATTAACACTAAACAGACTCTGGAACCTTAATAAAGTAAGTGAATCCTAAAGAACCAAATAAAACACTTTACCTAACTGAAGCACATAAGCAGAGTTCCTTACTCTTTCTTTCCCATGCATATATTGGTCAAGTGTTGCCTATTCTCTTTTTCATTTAAGAAAAAGTTGAGATTCCTAAGTAATTTCACTGAGAAAATATTTAAAAAGCATTAAAGTACCAGGCACCTTACAAAAAAAATCCAAGCTGCACTCATTCTGGGTTCTGTCCTTAACTCTTTAGCACTTTCTGAGGAACAAATTACACGTCCAAAAATCCACAACTCCAAACCCAGACTTGTACTGTCTTTAGAAAGCAGTCATATTCAGCTTTCTAATTTGAAGGGTGTGATGTTAATCAATACAAATTATTAATCCTGCCAGAAATAGAATGAAATTAATAAACTTACCTTCCTGAGCTCCTAAACCTTATGAAGTCTTATGAGACTTACAGGGACCAAACAAACTAGTTACATCAGTACATAATTTACTTCAAACAGTAAACAACTAAATGATAAGTTTTAACTATTTATTGTTTTCAAAGCACTCCGATCTTATTTAA